CAGATCCATGTCTGTGCAGATGAAGCTGGAATGTCAGGGCAGGGAGCAGGATCTGTGGGCAGGGACAGCATCACAGCAGTGCCCTCTGGGCTCTGCAGAGCAGGAGGAAAAAGGGAGCACTCACTCCATGGTACCTGTCTGTGGCTGCTGAGGAGCCCTAAGGAAAGCAGCAGAGCTCTGTGTGGCTGCCTGGCTCTGTGTGTTTTGCCCTGTTTGGGGTTTGCAGTGTGGTGCATGTTCCGTGTTCCCCGTGGGATGTACCCAGGAGTGCTGTGTGTGCCCCTGGCATGGGAGTGGGTCTCAGCCCAGCCCAGGCGAGGAGGGGGAGCTGGGCTGTGTCAGAACAAGCCTTGTTGATCAATCCCTCAGCAGAGAAGGGAGGCAGGAATTGCCATAACAACAGCGACAATCGTTTAATTTGATTTTCTGCCTGACTCCGACCGCGGGGTCTTGGGTGCTAATTCCTGCTTGGAACTGGGGCTTCCAGGCACCGTGTCTGGCCATGTCCTCTGTGAGCAGGTCCAAGGGTTAATTCCCATCCACAGCAGAAAAAAAAAGGGAAAAGATGCAGTGAATGTCTGCAGCTCCAGCTTCCAGCCCTGAGGCTGCTGTGCCCTCGCTGAGGAGTTGCAGAGCTGCAGCCTCTCCTGCCCAGGGATGTCTCCAGCTCCAGCCTGGCCATGGATCAGAGCCACTGTCTGTCCCTGTCCCTATCCCTGCCAATCCCTAGACTGGGGCCAGCCTGCTCCACAGCAGGGACTGCTGCTCTGCTGAGCAGCCTGAGCCTGTGCTTCCTCACCCAACTCCACGCTGCCCTCTCCTCCAGCCCAGGAAGTTCTCCCAAACCCCTGGATTTGCAGCAGCAGCATCCAGGAACAAATCCCTGAGATCCCTCCAGCAGCACAGGGGTCCCTGCCAGCCCAAGGCACTGAGCCATCCCTAAGGGCCAGTAGAAATCTGTCCCTGCTGAGCTCCTCTCTCTCCTTGCCCTCTCCAGTGTGACCAGTACAAGAAAGGGATCATTTCTGGCTCCACGTGCAAGGACCTGTGTGAGGAGCGTGGCCTCCTGTTCCAGCACTGCCTCTCCTCCTCCCCCAGCCAGCAGGTAGGCCTGTGCCCCCCACCCATGCCAGGGCCGGGCACCAGCCCCAAACCCTGCACATCTCCCCCTGCGTCCATCCCAAACCAGAACCCAGATCCCTCCACCTGCTGTGCCCCTCCCTGTGCTCCAGGTTTACAGAGGGCTCTGGAGGGACAGGGAGGTGATCATCAAATGTGGCATTGGGGAGGCCCTGAGGGCCGAGAGCCGCCCGGACTCTGTGCCCAGGAGGGACCTGGTGCTCTTCGACAAACCCACCCGGGGAACCTCCATGGACGAGTTCAAGGAAATGCTCCTCAACTTCCTGAAGGTCAGTGCAGGGCCCTGTGGGATCCCACAGCCCTGGCATGGTTCCTGAGAGTCAGAAACACCAATGGTGTTTTTCCTTCCCTTTGAACGAGAGCTCCTCCTGCCCGTGCCCCCCACCCACTGCTGGTGCCAGTGCCAGGCACTGATTAGTGGAGGAAATGAGTTCTTCTCTGTGAGATTTCAGTAGCAGCATCCCTGAGGTGGCTGTGCCACGGCTGTGGGTGGCATCTGTGCTGGGCAGAGCTGAACTGGTGGCCCTGGTAGTTACCCCTGTTGGGGCTTCTGCAGCAGTGGTGGGGTAGCAGCTCTGGCAGGAGGCTCTAGAGCAGCCCTGAGGCTGGGGAAATTCTGCTGGAGCTGGATCTGCCCACACATGGTGTGGCACGGGATTTTCTGGAGCGTCACCATTTCTTCCCCTCCCCAGCTCATTTCTTTGCTCCCCCAGTCCTGTTTTGTGATGTGACACCCAAACATGGAGAGCTGTGAGTGTCTGATGCCACTTCTTGTGCTGTTTGCAGTCCAAGCTGGGGGATCAGCCATCTCTTCCTGCCTTGGTGAGCCGGATCATCACCATGGCAGACGTGAACCGTGACGGGAAGGTGTCCCTGGCAGAGGCCAAATCCATCTGGGCGCTGCTTCAGCTCAACGAGTTCCTCCTCATGTTCTCCTTGCACGAGAAGGAGCACACGGCCAAGCTGCTGGGGCACTGCGGGGACCTTTATGTCACCGAGAAGATCCCCCACACCTCCCTCTACGGGGTGGACGTCCCCCCTTTCCTGCAGTCCCTGCTGCCTTCCCTCGCCCACCAGCTCATCCACCAGTGGTTTGCGCCGGCCTGGCCCCGGCGCGCCAAGATCGCCATCGGCCTCCTGGAGTTTGTGGAGGAAATCTTCCATGGGACCTACGGGAGCTTCTACATCTGTGAGAGCAGCCTCAGGAACGTGGGCTACAACGACAAGTTCGACTTCAAAATGGTCAACCTGCGCAAGGTGGCCACGGAGATGACAATCAGAGGCTTCCTCAAGGGCCGGCACTGTGAGCAGAACGGGGACTGCACCTACGGGCGGGACTGCACGGCCACGTGTGACAAGCTCCTGAAGCAGTGCAAGAGCGACGTGGTGCAGCCCAACCTGGCCAAGGTGTGCGGGCTGCTGCAGGACTATCTGCTCTATGGAGCTCCCCTGGAGCTGAAGGAAGAGCTGCAGAAACAGCTCCGAACTTGCATGACCCTCAGTGGCCTGGCCAGCCAGATGGAAGTGCACCATTCCCTCGTGCTCAACAACCTCAAGACCTTGCTCTGGAAGAAGATTTCCAACACCAAATATTCCTAACGGGGGAAGCACGGCCCTGAAATTTCCACCTGTGAGCTTGGAGCAAGGTCCAAGGGCTGAAGGCCTGTTTCTCCATTCTCTCCCCCCCAGGAAAAACACACCCTGCACAGGGAGTTCAGCAGAGCTGCAGCCCCTTCTCCTTCATGGAAAACCAACATCATGACTTGCACCACCCAGCAGCATCAGGGATGGGTTGGCAGGAGCGGAGCTGGGACACGGAGCTGGGCTGAGCAGGTTTGGGGGAGGAAGGAGACACAGAAAGGGATGAGGAAGCAGAGCCCAGCTGGATGCATCAAACTGTTCCTTGATGAGCAGGAAAGCAGAGCAAAGCGATGGGAATGAATCATTCATGCTGTACTTGTCACATCTCCTTTTGAGGAACGGCTCTGATGTAAATAAACAGCTTTTACGTGAATCACACCCGTCCATCAATAGCCAAACAGCAGCCTGTTAAGTACCAGCTTGTTTGTGATCTAAAAAGGAGGAAAAGGTAGATTTCCCCTTTCAAAAGTCTCTCCTTAAGTGTCTGAGTCATCTGCCATCAGCTCCAGCTGTCACACAGGAAGCAGATCAGCTGTCTGTTGCACCGTGGAGAATCGTGGCAGTTCTTTGGTTCCGTTTTTAAGTGCCTGACCCTGACAGTGATGCCGTGGCTTGTGAGAGGCTCCCCCCAGCTGCTCCTGCCCCCAGTCTGGAATTGGCAGCACAAGCCATTCCCTCACGTGTCCGCTCTGGAAGCGGCCGAGGCCAAGGATGGCTTAAAGGCAAAGGGCTAAACACGAACCGTTGTGACCCCTCCGTGTGCTCGGCTGTCACTGCCCACCACGCTCAGGGCAGGGATAAGCCAACCCCTCCGTTTAATTCTCCAAAAACTAAGCTGGGCTTGCCCTGCAGAGGTTGAAGGTTAATACCAGAATAATCCAGTGCTTCTCTCATTATTAAAATGAATTTCCAGGCAAAGCTTTTAGCAGGTCTCCAGACATTTTTTTTTTTTGGCTGTGTCTGTGCTCCCAGGGCTCCAGCTATGGCTGTTTCCTTGAAATGCTCAATTATAGCAATCTTAGAGCTCTGGGCAGGGAGGAAGAGCTGGATAAACTCCCCCAAGGTTGCTCTGTTCCCAGCACAGCCATATTCCTGCTGCTGGAGCATGTGCTGCTTCTCCTGCCAACAGTTCCTTAGGGAAGCGAGTGTGCAGCTGATGTGCAATCACAGAATAAAAATACACCTGACACTGCAGCACCAGGGCTGCAAATTTAGGAGCCCTTTGGGGACAAATATCAGGATTTTTCTTCTGTTGGTTCTTTAGGCTCCTCATCACCTCTCACTGGGCAGATTTTGGTGTCAGGGGTGCTGTGTCCAACAGAGCCACCAGAGCTCAGTCCCTGCTGAGGAGTGAGTGGCCTGTGGGATGTGATTTATCCATGCAGAGGGTGAGCACTCCCAAGGATTCTGCGTTTGAAGGGCTCCTCAGCCTGGACTGGGTATGGGCAGCACCAAGGTCCTGTCTGCAGGTGCCGGGGAGGGAAGGCAGGGCTGGAATTCCCTGGAATTCAGCAATGAGGCTCCAGGCTCCTCATCCCTTGTCCTGCATCCCCATGGCAACAGCTCCCCTGACAAATCCAGCTCCTCCTGCCATTAGCAGAGGAATCCAAGCCCTTGCCAAAATCCCCTCCTCAGGGAGGCAGAAAAACCATTTTCCACCCTTCCCTCCATTGTTTACTCCCACTAAATCCCTGCTGTTCCCTTCCCTCAAAGCAGTGCTAAAGCACCTGGAGAAGTGGAGGAAAACAATTTCCCCAACATCAGAACCTCTCTAAATATTTGTGAAGAGGTGGCCCCTTTAGCTGAGGGACCAGGCCCTGTCAGTTTAATTGAAATGAAGACACTTGTGGCAGCAACTGTTCCATTAATGCACACCCCCGTGGCCCTGGACACGCCCAGGAATTCTGCTCATCACTAATAAAAAGCACAAAGTGAGCGCAGTTTACAAACCACTCCCAGATACAGGAGAGAAATGAGTCAAGGCAAAGCTGTTTTATACCCAAATTCCTCCAGATTCCCCACAGAAGATGGAAAAAAAGCCAGGACACTCCAAGACTGATAATCTGATCTCACTGGATCCCCTTTGTGCCCAAGAGGATAGAGGTAAAACCTAAATTGCTTTAAAACAATCCTAAATTCTCATTTCCACAAAGTCTTACATCCTAAAATGGATAAAAAATAGCATTACTTGGGGTGCTACAAACACACAGCATAATCCATTCAGTCTTGTAGGTGGCATCTTTATTTAGGTTTTTTATTTTATTTAAATCCTTCTTAACCATGTAGAGAAAACACAGATGATCAAGTTTTAGGAATCTCCAAGCCATCAGACGTGGATGCTGCCAACGAGTTCTCAGTTTGTCAGACGTTCTGCAGCTCAAGGCATAATCTGCAAATAAAAAAATAAGGCCCAGGATGTCAGAAAAGTTGAAAAACAGGCAAGAAAAGGGAGCAATAAAGTCAATACTAATGAGCTAATTAACCCTTGCCATCCAGACTCTGGTACCCTCACTGTCTTGGGATTGTCCCAAGAGTTTTCACATCCCAGAAGGAAATAAAGATGAAATATAAAATGAAAAGATATTTTAAGGCTCTGTTATCAGGGTTCACAAGGAAACTTTGAGCCAGGGAATGCCTTCAGTTCAGAAGGACATGGCACAAATTTAGGAGAAGTTCTTTGGCAAGACATCAGAAGGGTTTTGGAAAAATATCTGGCTGGGGGAGTTTAGGAAAGGGATGATTTAAGAGCAGGATAGCTGGAGCCTGCTCTGGGTTATTCCATCACTCCCTAAAAATCCAAGGTGAGTTTGCCAACCTTGGTGCAGAGCCAAGCTATTAATAGTGCAGGGAAAAAAAAAATCTGAGCTTATTCCAGCCTTTAAAGCCATGACATAAACCAGTCCTTGATGATGAAGGGCTGTGCTATGTGCAGAGAGATTTTTAATTTCTCTAAACCACTTATATGTGAAACATTCACGTTTTCCACAGCTGAGAGCCACTTTTTCCTTCAGTAAAGCAATATCCATGGCCCAGGAGTGCTGCTTGGGGAAGGGCAGTTCCAGAAAATGCCATCAGAAAAATGTTCATGGTTCTGCTGTGCCTCACACAGGGAGCTCTAAAGAGACACTCATTAGCACTCAGTGCCCACACAGCACCCCTGGAGTGAGGAAGGCCTGATGAAAAACCCCAAACACAGACTGCAGGGTTAAAGAAGTAAAGGAATTTAAATAAAAGAGCCACATCCTCAAGCATAACCACATCCCCACAACCTCATTAACATTCTTTTCCAAAGCCAGTGACTTTTGCCAGTTAAAGGTCTCACTTTGCCCCACTGAGGCCCCTCTGGCCCTGTAATGGCCATTTAATGAGGTTTCCCATTTAGCAGTGCCAGAGTCACTCACTGCAAAGCTCAGGGTCACAGGCTCTGCCTGCCCAGAGCTGCTCTTGGTGTCCCTCAAGCACCATTTGGATACAGGGACACCTGTGCACAGGGTTTGGAGCAAGCTGGCACAGCAAAGGGTGTCCCTGATGAGGAGAAGGACTGAAGGACAGTGTCCATCCTCCACCATTCCCCATTAAAGGCAAGAGAGAGCAGGAAAGGAACAGGAAATGTCAGGTTGTTGAGCAATCCTGAGAGCTCACAGGGCTCAGAGCACCAGGGAAGACCTCGCCTGTCGCTGTCTGCCACCGAATGACACAGACGTGGCACTGCAGCCACGCCTGCAACACGAGCTGGGGCAGGGCCGGCACCTCCCAGCTCTGCAGCTCACCTGGGCTGGGCTCCTCGGGGCTGCCTCGGCTCAGGGCTGCTCTGGAAAAGAGGGAAACACAAGCACAGCCTTTAGACACAGCCCAAAGCCGGGCTACACACCTGCTGGTTCACTGGCAGCAGGGATTTAAAATCACTTCCACTCATTCTTCTGTAACACAAGTGGCACCCACAGGATCACAAACCCACGTGCAGCCTGTGCTGCACAGAACAGAACCTCCCCTTATGCAGATGCCACATCCCCATCAGTTCTGAGCTGGTTTTCCCTGTCTCCTTTCAGGCTGATAAAGGATGTCAGGCTATCAATCACTCTGAGTGCTCACGGGGTGCAGAACACACGAGCGTAGAACATAGCCTGGGTCTCTCTTGCCACTCTTTGACACAAAGATGCCACAGCAGCCATCTCTGCAACGCCAGTGGCAGCCTGGGGGGAGCAAATAACCCAAAACCACCGGAAAAATGTAATTATGGGTGGGTGCCCATCCCTGCAAGTGTTCAAGGTCTGGCTGGATGCAGCTCTGAGCAGCCTGGGAGAGTGGAAGGACTTCCTTTCAATCCAAACCATTCCATGATTCTGTTATATTTAAAAGATTTTATCACTATTTAAAAGCAGTGCTACAAAGGTATTTGCTGCATGTGCAGATACCACGTTTAACACTCCACTTACAGTTAGCAAAGTCGCTGAAGCTTCTTGGGCAGCCTTTTTCTGAAGGATCACCCTTCATTTCTGAAGTCACACCATCCTGGTCACTTCATTTTTTTTGTCCACTGCCAGGCTGAAGAAAGAAAAACAAAGGAGATGTTAATAATAAATAATAAATGCTGTTAATAATTGCCTAACAGCCTTTTTTGGTGAAGCACACCATTTAACTGGGAAGCAGAGAATTACAATGCTTAAAAGAAACATATCTACTGAAGATTCATGCAAGCTACTGAAATAATTGAAAACCTGAAAGCCTTAAATTTTCTTCCTTTTTTCAGTGGAGTATATTAAAAATACACATCTGGGTATGCTTTATATTATAAATATATATACCTCAAAATATATCCGGTTCACAATATATGGACATATTATTGATATCACATTAATATATTAATAATACAGATATTTTGCTTCCAGCGCACTCCACGATGTGCGGGATCTTCAGCGCACGTGGCAGCCCCGGGAGCCCCCCGAGCCCCGGGGCCGCTCGGGGCCGGGCCGGGCCGCGGGGCTGAGGGGAAAGGGCCGTTCCCCAGCCTCACCTCGCCCGGCTGCTCCCGCCGCAGCCGCTCAGCGCCGGGGCCGGCGGGAAGCAGCACCGGCCCTCAGGGAGCCTCGCCAGAACATGGCGGGGGAAGGCGCAGCTGTGGAGTCGCCTCCACCAGCACCAGTTTCCTGCGCCTGAGGGACGCAGGGCTTCCCGCTGACCGCGCCGTGAGAGGCCGATCCCGATCCCGATCCCGGTCCCGGTTCCTCTGAGGCACTGCAGCAGCTCCGCTCCCGCCGCCCCGCGCCCGCCGAAAGGGAAGTGGGCACCTCACTTCACCCTTATATAGTGCGGGAGCGGCCGCGCGTGCGCACTCGCTCTGCCCCCTGCGAGCGCCCCCTGCCGGGTGGGAGGACCCAGAGCCGGGGGAGGGCGGGGCCAGGCCCGTGGCCGGGGACACGGGACACCGGATCCATGCCCGGGAGTGCTCCAGGGCCTCCCACGGAGACACGAGGCTACCAAAAGATGGATATCCAGCTTTTCTCAGCTGCTCCTAGAGTCCCCCACCTCCCGTGGTGGCAAAGGTTGGGCTCCCAGCGTGTCCTGGGACAAAGTGGGGACCTTCTGACCCCCACTAGGGATCCTCACACCCTGCATCAGCCACCCTGAAATATCCCCAGCTTGGGGGCATCCTTTCCGTCCCACTGCCTTGACTGCCCCGGCCAGGCTCCCCATCCCATTCCACTAGGGAAAACTCCAAAAAAGGATCACAGGGATAAATCCCTTTATTTGCTAAGAACAGACACAAGATACAAGTGGTTTCAGGTGAAATCATGAGCTCAGGAAAGGCGCAGAACAGCTGCACCTCCCTGCAACAGTGACAAACTCAAGGACAGGAGCCTGGCTCCACTTTCCTTTGCATTGCTCTGGACAATTTTTTGGCGCTGGAGACCCTCCACGGCTGTGACTGCTGTGGGATCACCGTGCACAGGGCTGGGGGTCCCTTCCCTGCCAGCCAGCTGTGCCAACAGCGGTGCTGGACGCAGAGCCAGCCCCGTGGAGTGGAGCAGAGGCACTGAGCCCATCCCCGGGGCTCTACTTGCCCTGGGCTTTCCTCTGCAGCTCCTCGATGGCCTCGCTCTGCCGCCTCTTGTCCTTGGCACGGATGATGGTCATCCTGAAGAGCCTGCAGTAGAGCTCCACGGCCGCGGGGCTGTCGTCATTCCCGGGAATGGGGTAGGTGATCAAACACGGGTTGCAGTTCGTGTCCACCACCCCGACCGTGGGGATGTTCATCTTGGCCGCATCGCGGATGGCCACGTGCGGCTCGAAGACGTTGTTGAGGGTGCTGAGGAAGATGAGGAGGTCGGGCAGGCGCACGCCGGGGCCAAACTGGATGTGGGCGTTGGTGAGGAGCCCGCCCTGCCAGTAGCGGGTGTGCGCGTACTCCCCGCACGCCCGCGCCGTGCTCTCGACCAGGTGGCAGAACTGGCGCCGGCGGCTGACGAAGAGGATGATGCCCCCTCGGTAGGCCACGTGGGCCGTGAAGTTGAGGGCCAGCTGCAGGTGCTGCATGGTCTGATCCAGGTCGATGATGTCATGATCCAGGCGGCAGCCGAAGATGTAGGGCTCCATGAACCTGCGGGGGCAGCGGGAGGGACATGGAGATGGGGTGTGCAGGCATGGAGCGTTCCTGCCATGCTCCTGCTTCTGGCTGACAGCACAGGTGTGCTCTGCAGAGAGCCCTGTGTCTGACCCAGTGTCACACCCTCCCAGTGCCCACACTGGGGGGATCCCTGTACCCTGCCCTGTGTGGGCAGCTCCAGGCTCAGACCAATCCAGCAGATGTGGTCTGGGGAAGCATTCCTGATGTCAACAAGCACTGCATCACGAAAAGCATCACTCACCTGTGCCGACATCCCTTTTTGTGGCCCAGGTGCACCCGAGCATCAAAGAGATCTTTCAGGGTGAAGAGCTCCTTCACGCTGAAGAAGTCGGGGTGGCTGAGAGGCTCTGTCAGCAGCTTGTCATCGTCAGCTGAGAGAGGGGAAACAAATACTCACTGTGTTTGGGGGGACGAGCCGGGACTGCAGAGAGGATGCACCGTGCCCGGTTCGTATCGCCGCACGGGGCTGGGGTGCCAGGGGTGCCCGGCAGCACTCACCGCGGGGCTGGCTGCCTGCCGGGGCCGGGGCCGGGGCCGGGGCCGGGGCCGGGGCCGGGACGGTGCTGTAGAGCCGCGGGGCTGCTGCGGGACAGAAACACGCGGGTCACACGGGGATGGATGGCCGGGGCGCTCCGGGCCGGACCGGGCCGGGCCCCGCTGCTCACCTGCCCGCAGGAGCCGCGGCAGCGCCATGCTCGGAGCCCGCCGCAGGGAACGGACGAGCAGGAGCAGCAGGAGGAGGAGAGGGGGAAGGTCAGCGGCGCTTTCCGCTTCCTGCGGGGCGGGGCGGGCGCAGCTCGGGGCGGTTGCGGTCGCTGCCCGCCCTCCGCCTCTGGTCGCCGGGTAACGGCGGCTGTCTGTCCCCGCGGCCCGGCCCGGCCCGGCCCGGCGGCTCCGCCATGGCCGAGCCCAGTCCGGGCGTGCCCCGGCGCTTCGAGGAGCTCACCTTCTACCGCGGCTACGGGTGAGCGCCGGCGCGGAGCTCCCCTGGTGCCCCGGCTCCGGGCGGGCTCCCCGCGCTAGCTGTGCTCTCCCCCCGCAGGCAGCCGCCGCCTCACCCCCGCTTCCGCACCGCCAACCAGACCTACGGCAGCAGGGCCCCCACGGTGCACGAGCTGCCGGTACGAGCACCCCGGTGGAGACACGGCCCAAAGCCGCGTCCAGCCCTGTGCCCGGCCGGGCTTTGCAGGTGCTGTCCATGTTTAAAACACCCCTGTCCCCCTCCCCTCCCCGTCCCCTCTGTCGCCCCCGCAGAGCTCCTTCCACATCCTCCCGCACAAGTTTTCGGATCACCTGGGCAGGATTGGCATGTGCAGGAACGAGAGCCTGAACACGGCCCTGGAGAAGAGCCACTGCACCGGCCCCGACACCTTCATCACCGCCTACGAGCACCTGGACTTCCACCCCAGCTACAACCCCAGCGGGCCCTCGCACTGCCGGGACCAGCCGCTCTAGGCAGCTTTTGTCTGCCTTAAAAACGCCCACGGCCAGCCTTGATCCCAAACGGACCCACTAGATTGCAGAGGGAATGTTATTAGGAGTAATATAGTGAAGATTTAATGTGGTTAAGTGTCAGTTAGGTAGCTCATGTGAAGCGTTTTATCTAATTTATCAGCAGCATATAAATACTAGGATAATATAAATTCTGGTTTTATCCCCTTATCCCCTTCTCTGTCACTAATGATTCTTTACACTCTTGCCTTATTTACTACATATCATTAAAAATTAAGAGCTAAACTGCTTCTCTACTATTTAATGAATAATCAATCTCTAAGTTTTCCAGAGTTATTAATTAACTCATTAGATTTCTTGTAGAAAGTTCACGTTTCTTCTTTCTCCAAAGTACAAAGTTTTAAGAAATTATTCAAATAATGACAAGGAATCAAAAAGAAGAATATTTTTTAAGTTTTATTGGAACAACTGTAGGTACAGGCAAAGAAACTGCATCAGTTGGACAGTGAGTGCACTGAAAGAACACCTGAACATTGTTGGTTTAAAAATGAGTTTTTAAGAGAAACTACTCTGCCTGTTTATGGATGAAAACCAGTCCCACCTTACAGGTGAAACAGAACATTAAAAATGAGCATAATATTATTCAAACTGTTTGCTAAAAATATAAATAATGAGTGGAACATTATGTCCAAACTACTGCAATTGATACTCCTCACATGTCAGAAACATTCCCTGTTTGTGACATGAGCTAAGAGCTGGGTAGATCCCCCAGCTGCAAACAGACCAAAAATAATAAATTGGAACAGGTAAATAAACTGAGCAGAAATGGACCTGAAAAGTTAACATTTCAAAGATTTAACATCTGAAAATAAATAAGCAACCCTCTTCCATTTGCTGTGATCCTCGTATCAGACTCTAGACAATACCTGGAGCTTCTTTAGAACTTCCCTTTCTTCTCCTGAAATGAGAAAATAACAAAGTGCTGCATCAATAGAAATAGTTGTGACAATGTTACATGTATTTTTATCCACAGATTTTTCTGCAGGTGGCATAATTTAGGGATAAGGCTGCCTCTCCAAAATATTAACAGAGTGGATTCTGTCACATATTTTCCCACTCCATCTGAAAACACCCACCTCTTCTTTCTTGCCTCAATTTCTTCCCTTTTAATTTTATTCTTGAAACCAGTTCCTTTGAAGAGTTTGGCATGCAGTGTGTCTAAGTGTTCAGAGGTCAGACCAAATGCACTTTATAAAAAAGAAATACCTGTACAAATTCAAAATATCCTCCTAAAAATGACTCCTTTTACCACACAGGGATCTACCTGAAACAATCTCTTTCTACTCTGTCTTTTGAAAGGAAGATTTTCATGTTTTCAGATAAAATTATGTGAGGCTGAACTATCACCAACTGAAGGAGATGAAAAATTGAAAAGCTTCTACATTAATAAAAGAAATGGGGGCAGGGATGTTCCTGCCTTGTATAAAGAGCAGCTACATGTCAAAACACGAGTTCCTAAAACAGCAGCAAAGAACTGGGAATAAAAAAATAAAGGGAGTCCTTGCTGTCCCTTGAGGATCCTTAAAGATTGTTCCCAAAGCACCCAAAATCAGTCACTGGGGTAAAAAATGAAGCAATAAACCTCTTTTCAGATTTACCTGACATCTGTGGTACTGCAGCCAGGATCTGTAACTCACCAGGGCCATAATAAAAAACACCAAGTGGTTTAAGCACTTAATATCTAAATTAAGAAGTTTGGTGCTCTGACTGGAAAGAAAAATTAGCATTGTGCATTTTTAAAAAATATGAACGAGCACTCATTAAAAAAAAGGTGACTTAATAAGCTTTAGAAGAGCTGGGTTTATGGCTCCATGTATCTGCTGCAATAATTTTAATTAATTGGTGTCTCAGGAGGGTGGGAGTAATGGGTAAAGGAGTTTTCTGAGCTGCCACTGGAGGGACAGGGCTGTGCAGTCTGTGCCCACTCTGTGCCCTCCCTGGGGCTCTCATGGGCACTATAAACAGGAAAGAAAATCTGCTTTTGGAACTGCTTTTATGAAGATTCAACCTTGAGAGATTCGTGCTGCAGTCCCAAGCTTGGTACCACGTGTGGGGATTTATTGCCACTCAAGATAATCTTTTTTATTGCT